CGCAGCCCCTCTGCACCCTCAGAGTCCGAGCCCCGTGGCGTGAGCGTCTACCTGATCCCGCCCAGCCCCCTGGACCTGTACGTCCACAAGTCGCCCAAGGTGTCCTGCCTGGTGGTGGACCTGGCCAGCCTGCAGGGCATGAGTCTGCAGTGGTCCCGGAAGAGCGGGGCCCCCATAACCGGGGCCACCCAGATCAGCAAGCAACACTTCAACATGACCTACTCCGTCACGTCCACCCTGCCCGGTGCAGTGGCTGCAGGACGGCGCCCTGATCCCCAGCGACAAGCACACCACCACGAAGCCCCTCGGGGACCGGGGCGCCAGCCCTGCCTTCTTCGTCTTCAGCCGCCTGAAGGTCCCCCGGGCCGACTGGAAGAAGAGGAGCAGGTTCACCTGCCAAGTGACCCACGAGGCTCTGCCCGGCTCACGGACCCTCGAGCGATCAGTGTCCAAAGACCCTGGTAATTAAGGCCCTGCCTCCCACCCCCTCCAGGCTCCCGCTGGGACGGAGGGAGGGGCTGCCGCCCCTGCCCCCTCTGCCCCCTCTACCCCTACTGTCAATAAACACTTAGCAGTGCCAGCTCGGAGCCCAGATGCACTCGTTCTTGGGGGGGTGGGGGCTGAGGGACTGGGGTGTCTGGCACAGAGGAAAGGACTCGGAGAGGGGACGGGAAGGCTTGGGCGGGGCTGAGCGGGGCTCTGTCCACCACCCTCCCGCCAACCCCCCATGCATCCTGCCCACTCCAAGGAGCCCTGGGAACCAGAGGGTGGACCCAGGGGAGGACCATGGGGACCCCAGCTCAGCCCACAGCCCCTGCCTCTCCGGAGGCCCTGGGGGCCTTGGTCTCCACCCCGGGCTCCCGCTGGCCCCTCTGACGCAGACCAGCTCCCAAGCCCCAGGCCCAGCTGCACACACAGGCCCTGTGGGTAGAGGGACGGGCTGAGTGCGATGCCCACCAGGCGCCCACACGCAGGGAGCCAGACAGCCCCAGCCCCCGCCAGC